CTGCGCACAGGGGCTGATGGTCAGACCAGAGCACAGAGGGCGCGGAGCTCGCTGGCGCCAACGCCGACCGGCCAGACAATAGCAGGAACGACTCGCAAACGGCGCTAGGCCAGAGTCGGACCAGATGGGGGGGGGGGGGGGACGAGCTCTGCGAAGCCACTCCAAACGAGATCAGGTACTGCTGAAACGCTGATAACCCAGGCTCAAGCACGGCCTGTCATCCTAGCAGGCATTTGTCGGGTTAAGTGGCCACTTGACTAAAAAGAACTTCAGTATGTTAAACTCAGCAAATCGCGATAAACATTTCCCCATTATGCTGCGGCACTACAAATCGGTTTTAAACACAGCACAATGCCTTCCGCTCGATTACAAGGAGCGGATTGATCTGCGGCTTCTTCGTCTCATGAAGCTGAACACAAATCCAATGCCATCTATCATGATTTGCATAAATTCTCTAAAATACATCTGTTCTTATCACATCATTTGAGGATAGTGCTAAATAAGATCCATGAAGACCCATGACCCATGCACACTAACGTGTGGATACGACCACACCAAGCAGTCTGAGCAAGCATTTCATCCGTGATAGTTGATAATAACACCTCGTCTCCCCCTTTCCGTAACAATATACTAACGTGAGTCGTGAAAAATTCATGCTTAGACATGATATGTCTACCATGAGATGCTGCGATGGCATACGCATAATGTAATACTTTTATTATTTAAAAAAACTTTTATCAATAAAACTGCTTAATACTTGCGGTATTACACAAGTCCCGGTCTGTAACAGCGTCTCATAGTGACGCTGGCAATCAGACAGCGAGGACGTGACTCATAGCAACTGATGAATGTTTCAACGCCCAGAGGGCTGGAGGGGCAGTCAGTGACAGCTCACAGACCAGCTTCAGACAAGCACAAACGAGCGAATGGTGGGATGACTATCATGAGACAATGACGTGAGCGGTGAACTCTGACGGAGGACGCAGACGATGTCAAGCTCGGGAAACAGCTACATCCCGCACAATGAAGCGGGGAGGAGCCGCAACGGGAGACCCAATCGGCTCCGCGGAGACAAAGAACGACACGCGAGAGAGCAGCCATGCCGAGAAGCAGAGGCCCGCTGAGCACGTCTCACGGTCGGAAATTGTCTCTCGAGTTACCCTAACCGGCTCACCTTGCCCTGTAAAGTACGCTCTGTTTCACGACGCATTTTACCCAAATGCCGGCTGTGTGCAAATTGCCGGCCAGTGACCATGCAGCACTGTTGATTTCACCAGATAACGTGACGAGCCGATGTCGCAGTGTGCTTGTGGAGACTAGAAAGGGCCATCACGCGCCGGATTCAGTGACTGTGACGTGCAATGTGGCCCCGACAGAAAGCGGCGGCGAGACTGTCGAGCCGGTGCGCACCGGAGCGGAGCGTGGGCGGAGCCACCTGCAGCGCACGCCCGAATGAGGACGATTTCTAGTGGGTGGCTGACCCGAGGAAGGCCGGCTTCAGCGCCACTCGGCGTGGCTGACCGCGGCATCCAGAGGGCGGGGCTGCTGGTACCGTAGCCACAGACCGCCGAGACGAACCAGCCCAAATTACAGGGCGAGAACACCGTTTCCCTGAAGCCTGATCAGTTAGTGGTAATTGCATGTGAGCCAACCTCTGGGAAGTTTTGTGACAAGGTTCCCCCGACCAGATGGCTCCGACAGGCGCCGCTCGGTCCCGAGACGGCTGCGGCCCGGCCGCCTGGCCGCACTGAGCTGACGAATTCATGTCAGTACCGCTACAATTGATCAAGTGAGCAGCCCCGCTCGTGGCCGGAGAGAGGGAGGGGGAGCGGAGCAAACGGCTCTCGAACCAGCTGACCGCTCCACAGCGGCAAGCTGTGGGTTGGCAGGCCACCAGAAACGGCTGCTACGCATGGCGTCGGGCGGCACCGGCCCCATCTCCAGCCCGGGTGGGTCGACTCGGGCCGGGTCGGGCCGGGTCAGGTCGAACTCGGCCGTTACCGTCGACTCGGCCATGCATTAATATCCCACTCGCCTCGCGCCGCTCGCGCCGGCGGCCAGCGTCGTGTTGTGTTGTGCCCGCCAGACGGACGAATCTGAATATGATTAACGGTGCCTCGCGATGAATGGAAACCGCGGATAAATAATCAGCAATGCCGTCGTTACAAACATTAATGCGGCGGCCAAGGTAATTGATTGGGCGGCGCGAGGCTGCCGGTACAGGCGGCGCTGTGGTGCGCGTGAAATCGCCGCCGCGGACGCGGCCCGGAGCCAGGCGCCGCCACGTTCTCACATTGTTTCCGCCCAGCTGCACCGTCTGGGACTGGAGGGAGAGCCGGCGGCGGCCGTCGGTCGCTCGATGCCGGCGGCCCGGTCAGCTGGACCGGCGGCGGCGCTCGCAGCGGCGCTCGCAACGGCGCTCGCAGTCGCGCTCGCAGCGGTGCGGCACACACCGGCGCGAGCCCAGGCACCGGGACGTCCGACTGGCCTCGCTCGGGGTACCGCAACTACCGGGCTGTGCTCAAGGTGCCGTGCCCAACGGTCCGCACTCAGAGTGCGAACTGACAGGTCCAGCTGAAAGAACTGAGTCCAGCGGTCCGTGTTCAGGAAGCGGACCTAGGGGTCGCAAGCCTCAGTGGAGCCAGTCACTCAGTAGCTGGTAGGGGTGTGGAATGTACCGGCTTGTCAAGGTTTCATGACCGCCAAAATCAGCCTCCGTGATTTACGAAGATCGGTTGGCATGTGACCGTCACTGAGTTGTATCCGACGGCAGCTGTTACGTCTGAGTTTGACAGGGTGCCGCCTGGAATTGGTTTCCGTGGTTCTTTAATCGAGTTCTGTCTGATTGCAGTTGACCAAGGCCACATCTAAGTGGCGCATGGTGCATGACTGCAAGTGCGCTGTCTGTACGGCTGTGACTAACAGCTGCTTTTGACAATGACTAACGACCGACCGACACCTCTAAAATGACTGCCAGCTGCCATCACTGGCCGATTCCATGGCCTTGGCTCCATGGATTCAGCTGAAAAAATCTGTCGATGAGAGATGCTTGAAGACTTGGTTACAATCAGTCACTTTATGCTTATTACAGCCACCTATCCCGAACCATCCTAGAGCATTGCCTCTCACAAAACATGTAAACATTAACACTGGTCATGAACTATAAAATGTTCCACACCGGAAAATGGGTGCCAGCCCGCATGGTGCCGACATCGCAGCTGGGGCCTGGTAATGGCATCATGGCAGTGGCCGCGGGACGCCAGTCGGGGCCTGCTGGCGTGTCACATGCCATGGGCTGGCCGGGCCCGGCCTGCCGTGATGTGCTGCGGCGGCTCTGCCGGCTTGCCGGACCGCGGACCATATCAGAGGCCCGGCCTACCGGCCCCGGCCCCTCGGAGGCCAGCCAGGCCGGCCCGGTTCGGCCGACTGAGTCACCTCCGCGGCCTGGTGACGTCAGTCGCCCCAGCGTCCAGGCCGCGCCGGTGACGCGCTCCCGCCGGCCGCCTGTCGCAACCGCAGAGGACAGACGGCCAGGTGGGCCGGCAAGCTACGGCGGAGCGCCGCACGCTGCATCAGCGGCGCGTTTACTCACTACTTCGAACGTAGCCCATTGAAGAAGGCGGATCTCCAGGGTCAGGTCGAGGTTGTGCAGCCAGGTTTCGGGATGGATCTTGAAAATCACACTGCCCGACATGCTCTTCTCCTGCAGATTCATCTATCCGGTCTGCCGTGAGTGACGAGCGCCAGGTCTCTGAGCCGCCGGCGGAGCAGTGTCGGCTGTCACCAGCTCCGAGCGTCACAGCTCAGAGCAGCTCAGACAGCTCCGAACGTCAACGTGACGGTTCGGCTGGGCCAGACACGCCAGGACGCATGGGCGCACACTCAGCACGTTGGCAGCACCGAGGACACGGTCACTTCAGCTGTCCACTGCTCCTCACCCGCCGATGACCGCTGGCGGACGTACAGCGCACAGTTCCTCCCGGTCAGTCAGAGGCGCCACTCACAGCCGTCACCGGCCGGTCTGCTCGTCAGGGGCCAGGTGCCGCCGTCCAGAGACAGAGCCACTCGCCTCCGTCACCAGCCGGTCCCCGCCGCGTGAGAGGCTGGGCGCCACGGCGCGGAGGCAGCGCGGTCAGCGAGCGCGGCTGGGGCAGCTCACCAGCGCGGGCCGCTCGTCGGCGGCCGCGTGTCGACTGCCGGCTGGCTGGTCCCGGGCGCGGCGGCCGCTCTCCGGCAGGGGGCGTCACCGGGCCGACCGGCTGCCACGCACGCACGCGGTAACCGGGCCACGCACCGCCGATGGAGGCGGCCGAGCAAAACAACCCAGCCTGGGTGGTGCCGCTCCCACCGAACGGGCCACGTATGCAGATCGGGCCGCGTAAGGGGACGAGTCGGGCGCCGGCCGCGTGGAGGAACACCGGGCGACCCTTGGCAAACAGACCAACCGAAAGGCCACGACCGGATCAGAGCAGGCGCCAGTTCCAGCGATCTGTAGTACCACCTTAACACAAATATCGCAGGGCAGGCTCAGTCTAAGCAGCCTGCGGTGGCAACACCACAGCTTCCGCAACCGAAGAGGTCGTCGATCCAATCACACTTAGCTGGTTTTCTCTTCGATCCAGGAAGCAGGCTTTCCAATCTGTTCCAATCCCCACACTATCCGCACTTCAAGAGTGGCGCGCTCGGTGATCGCTCAGAATCTTCGGTCCGTCCAGCGTTGTCTCTGCATCTTCAGTGTCATGAGGCATGTGATTCTTCCCACCGTATCGCCGTTACTTCGATTGCACAACACGTTCAGCCGCAGTCAGCTGAGGACCAGTCCATCAACGCTGACCACAGACGCCTCCCGCCACGCAGCTCTGCCGACACGCCAGCTCACGGACGCCGTCGCCGCGGCTATCGACCTCGGCTGACCCGGCGCCCTCCCTCGTCTCAGGCTTCCGGCTGACCTGGCGCTCCTCCTCAGTCCAGGTCCTCCTCGGCTGACCTGGCGCCCTCTC